GGGCTGCTGAGGCTCCTGCTGTATGTCCGGGTGGCTGCCTTGGAGAGGATGGTCACCCCGATGAGGCAGGAGCCCATAAAATAGAGCCCAGTTAGGGGTGTGTGGGATGTCCTGTGTTGGGTGAGCTGGGGAACAGCTCTGTGAGAAGGTCAGATGGGGAGGCAGCCACAGAGGGAGGAAGCATAACCCTGGGGCCAAGCACAGGGCTCCTGGGTCAGACGGAGGAGCTGTTGGGCTGTGGGAGCTTGGGTTCCATTCCAGCATCTTCGTTTGTAAAATGAGTGGGTGGCTGGCCATGCTCTTGGGACCCTGCCCACTCCTGGGCCCTGTGGTCAGTGACCCCTTCCCCACAGGCCTGCGGTGTGGACTATGAAGTCAAAGCCTTTTGCGCAGAGAACCTGGAGGAGAAGATCCACAAGCGGTGAGAAGGGCACAGCTTCTGGCTCAAGTGTGGGCTGCCTGCTGGCAGAAAGAGGGAGATAGGTGACCCAGAAGAAGAGATAAGTAACAATACCTGGAAATGTTCTAGGAGGGGCCTCACATTCCAGCCTTGGGAGCTCTGAGAAGGTCACTCAGGAAAGCTGGCAGGGCTTCTTGGAAGAGGTGGCTCAATTGCTCTGGTTCAGGCCTCAGCATTTTTTTCTTTACACCATTGTACCTGCTTTCTCCATCTCCCTGCATCTAGTCTCATCCCCTCCAGATTGCATGCCTTTTTACTTTGTTTTGGAAAAAACTCGAAATTCAGATTGTTTTAAACAGCAAGCTAGTTTTTCCCAGGCCAGTTTCCCAGTTTTCCTTCTGGGAGGCCATCAGCAGCAGGTGGTGGTGGTGACAGGTATAAATGGAGGCTTCCAAGCAAGGTAGAAAAGTGGAGAAAGTGAACCCACCCAGGGTAGGATGGGGAGGGAGGTCAGCTCATGTCTCAGAGAGGGGAGGTGTTTTCCTGGAGAGGCACAGCCCTGGGCAGACAGAGAGCCCAGGCTGGCATCCTGAAACAGCTGGCCGTGACTTCTGGGGTGCGCTTCCTCAGCCCCCAGCTCAGATGCACCCTGCCTAGGAGGGTTCCTGCCTCAGCTGGCTGAGAGCACTGCAGTCTCTTAGGGAGTGGGCCAAGTGTGCCGCCTGGTGGCTATAGGATGTATTGCAGGCATCTCCACCCCCTGCCTGGGTAACGTGTGTGTGTGTGTGTGTGTGTGTGTGTGTGTGTGTGTGTGTGTGTTTTGAGGGGGGAAATGGGGCCCTTCTCCCTTGTTTCTCTGTCCCTTGTTTCTTCTTAAGGTCTGAGACCAGAGTAAAGGAGGGGGGTGCTGGATTTTGGGGGTGGAGCTTTATCAGAGCAAGAAAGAGGAACAACAGTGAGAGCTATCGCCCTCACCTCACTACTAATGGGACATTTAAAGTCCTCACCAGAGTTACTACTAACAATGATATAGCAAGTATCATTTATCAAAGACTTATTAAGTGCTGGACAGTATTCAAAGTGATAGGCATGTCTCAACTAATTTAATCCTCCTAGCTACCCTAAGAGGTTGGTCCTGCTCCTGTTACTGTTTTACAGATGAGGAACTGGGACACAGAGGTTAATTCACTCAAGGTCAGAGTTAGTAAAGGGAGAGTTAGGACTTTAACCCTGGCTATCCAGCTCCAGGGAAAGGAGGCAGCTTATCTGAGAAATGGGGATGCCGGCATGTCTAGCATGGGGATGCCAGCATATCTAGCATGGAGACTGCCTCACTGAGTCCCTGTCCCCTCCCTGTCCCTGAGCCCCCATCACTTTCATTGAGTCCCATCTCATCTCTGGCCTCCACCCTCTCACTGAGTTTTTATCTTTCCCTGGCCTGCACTCCCCTGACTGAATCCATGCCCTGTCACTGAACCCATCACCTCCCCAAGGCCCCATTGGCTCATGGGGTCCATGTCCTCCTGCATATTTTTATTTAATAGATAGTTAGCAGGCAATTGTTAGATGGAAGACACTGTCACAGGTGCTGAGAATACAGCAGTGAACAATTTAGACAAAAAGCTCTGTCTTTAAGGAGCTTACACTATCAGAGGACATAAGGGATGCAGGAAGTGAAAACATGGTCCCCTTCCTACCATCCTGCTGGCCACCAAGACACAGACCCACATGAAGCCCTGCTGTGGGGTGGCTCTGCTCTGATGTTCAGACCAGGAGGAGATCCAAGTGGGTGGATCCAGGAAGGTTTCCTGGAAGAGGAGGCCTCTAGCCGGGCCTTGAAGAAGGAAGCAAATGAGGGCAGAAGCGGTGGGAAGAGGGTATTATAGGTGGGGCCCCAGTGCAAGTGAAGCTTCAGGGAAAGAACTAGATAGACCATCCAGGGTTATAGTGAGGAGGCAGGGGTGCTGGGACAGAATGGGGAAGGATGGAGTAGGGCCAGATGGTGACAAGGCTCCTATGCCAATCTCTGCAGTTTGAACTGGCGTCTGAGGCCATGGGGAGCGATGGCAGTCTTTGAGCAGGAGAGGGATGTGAGGAATGCAAGGAAAGGGGATGGAGGCAGGTGACTCTGGTCATCTTTCTCTCTGCCCACCTCCATTAGGAATTCCGTGCGCCTGGTTATCAGAAAGGTGCAATACGCCCCGGAGAGGCCTGGCCCCCAGCCCACAGCCGAGACCACCAGGCAGTTCCTCATGTCGGACAAGCCCTTGCACCTAGAAGCCTCCCTGGATAAAGAGGTAGGAGGCTCAGACTTGGTGGGGGTGGGGGTTGCTCTGCCAGGGCTGGGACCTCAGATCCCAGCTCTTTCATGGCCTCGGGACTCCTCGGTAGGAGCTTCTGCCCCCAGCTCTAGGATCACAGGGCTCAGGGGACCTGAGATTTCCCTTGGGGGATTCAGGAAAGCCTCTTGGGACTTAGAGGGGTGGCAGAGGGAGTATTAGCCTGAAGGATCAGACTGACTTCAGAAATCAGTGTACCTCCCGAAGGGTCCTGGGTCCTGGCCATCTCTCCACACCCCATCCATCCTTGAGCTGTGAGCATCCCTTCTCCCTCTCCGGGAACAGCTGAAGGCAAGTGCTTGGGGCAAGATTCAAGCTGAGGTCCTTCAGTGAGGACTCAGAGCAGGTTCCCTCAGTGAGTGGGCCAACCCTTCCCCACCTTCTCCTACTTCTAGACCCCCCTGTGTCTAAAATTCCAGGCAGCCAGAGCTGGCAGGTGCCTGATACAGCATCACCCAGTCCAACTCCTCTGTTGTAAAGAGGGGAAAGCTGAGGCTTAGGAAGCCTGCCCAAGGTCACACCGTTCATCCTCATCGTTATTGTTAGTGTTATCGTTATTTCTGGTGACTAACCCAGGATTGGAGCCCAGGAATATCACCTTCTAATTCAACCATCTTTCAAGGTCCCACAAAGGAACTGAAGTCTAACATGCCTGGTGGCATCAGCGGAAAGTGGTTGATGACCTTGGGGTCAATGTCGGAGTGGCGAGGGTCTAGGAGATGTGTGTGAGGCCTCTTCTGCCTCCCCCTCTCTAGAGTTTGGTGTCCTCCGATTCAGCCCTTCTCCCTTCTTACACCTTCCAGATCTATTACCACGGAGAACCCATAAGCGTCAATGTCCATGTCACCAACAACACCAACAAGACAGTGAAGAAGATCAAGATCTCGGGTACCCCAGGCGGAGGGCAGCCCAGGGCCGGGCAAGAGGGAATCCCCCCGAGGGAGGGGTAGCTGAAGGCTCTCCCCTTGTTAACAGCCTTGTAAATAACTACTGGCCTCAGGGAAGCCCAGGGCCTACTCTAAGCCAAAGGGTAAGGCTTCTGAGGCTGCTTATTGTCCAGGTAATGAGTTTACTGTTTACACTGCCTCCCAGTTCCCCTGGGTTCAGGACAAAGCTACACTCAAGGAGAAGGTTTTTTGGTTATGGAAGGGAATGGGTTTGCTTGGGCTGCCCTTTGCAGGGAGCATGGGGTGGTCTGCTGTGGAAGCCCCCAATGAACTCTGGTCATTGCCTGGAGCTGCCAGCTCAGGGGAGCGTCGGATGCCTGGAAGCTACACCCCTGACTCATACACCACCCCGTTTCCCTCTTCCTCCCCAGTGCGCCAGTATGCGGACATCTGCCTTTTCAACACAGCCCAGTACAAGTGCCCTGTGGCCATGGAAGAGGCCGAGTAAGTGAACATAAGACCAGCCTTGGATGCATGGGATTGGGTGGGGAGAAGAGAAACCCTGGGGCTACTTACCTCTTCTGCACCTGGCAGAAGGCTGGGCCTCAGACTTCCTTGCCACTCATGGTAGATGATCCTGAACAGCCTTGTAGAAAACATTCACTTGATTTAGCTACAAGAAAATGCATCTTGCAGTTAAGGAAAAGACCCATTAAAACTAGAATGACAAAATAAGAGCTAATGATTGTAAGAGGGCTGGGGTCATAATTATGCTGTGCCAGAAACCTATTGAAGGGAGATACTTTGCTCTGAGCTCCCTGGCAGCCAAAACAAAGAGGGTAAGGCACTTGGTACACAGCTTTTCTAGTCTGATAAAGGAATAATCCAGCTCATTATATAAAAGAGGTTGTATGGGAGGGTAGAGAATATATTTTTTAAAAATCTAGGTTTGAAGAGACCTACTATGATTGAGCATAGAACTTTGTTCCAAGCTTGTTAGCAGCTAAGGAAAGAAGAGAGATCTCAAGTGAAACATTTTTTTCTCACCTAAAGGAAGTAGATGTTCTTATTAGAAGGCTTGTCTTTTCTCCTGGTCCTGCATATAACTTTTTGAGCAGTTGCATTTCATTTAATTTTTCCTGTATGTGTGTGTTTATGTATGATAGCAATCAGTATTTTTACAACTTAAAAATATTTTTTAAATGTTACTATGTGGTCTTTGAGATGTCCTGGTTAAGCTGGGGTTGGCTCTGGGAGACATTTCTACACCTGTCTCCCTTCTTCTCAGTGACACAGTGGCACCCAGCTCAACGTTCTGCAAGGTCTACACGCTCACCCCCTTCCTGGCCAACAATCGAGAGAAGAGGGGCCTTGCCCTGGATGGGAAGCTCAAGCATGAAGACACAAACCTGGCCTCCAGCACCCTGTGAGGACCTGCCCTCCCTAGTCCCAGGCTCTCGAATGTTCACCCTGTCCCCAGTGGATCCACACCCACCTTGGCCCCACCAGTGCCAGCACAAGGCGTGGGTTACCCTCTTCCCAAGCGTTGTCCGGGGCCTGTCCTCAGAAGCTTAAAACTTCCAGGGAAGCTGTCCCTTTACTCCCACCACTATCCAGGAATAACCCAGGAAATACGATGGACCTTACGCCCAGGTCCCTTAGTCAGTGCTGGGCTCTGAGGGAGAGCAACCTGGTGAGGCTTCCTGTAAGAGGCAGCAAATCCTAACCTAGTGTCTTCAGTCAGATGGCGTTTGTCCCTGAGGTATAGTGAGGCTGGAAGGGAAGGAGTGGCTGCTGGACCTGTCCCAGCAAGAGAGGACGAATCAGGAGTTGGGAAGGTGTAGGGATGAGGGAAGAGGTGGGGGTGCCCCCCAAAGGCAGGGGTTCCAGGGCTAGCTATATGGTCTGGTCATTCTTTTCCAAGTTCCCACCCCCTCAGGGGCAGAGCGTACCTTTCTCACATACTGCTCTGCTTGCTCAAGATGGCTGAGTGGCTCAGGAGAGGGACAGATGACTTTTGCCCCCAACCACAGCCCACCCCTGCCATGTCTTGCCCACCCAGTGAGCTCCCATGAACCACCTTCCCTATGTTGCCTTGCAGGTTGAGGGAAGGAGCCAACAGAGAGATCCTGGGCATCATTGTTTCCTACAAAGTGAAAGTGAAGCTGGTGGTGTCCAGGGGCGGGTGAGTGCTCCCGTTCCTCCCAGGACCCTTAAGTGCAGAAGGGAGTGCCCCTAACCGCCCACAGACTGCTGCCCCTTTCTGCCTGTTTGCTGGACTTTTTAGCTGCATCCACCTTGAGGATGAACCAAGCTCCAGGACTTCCTGCTCCATCCCTCCTTCCTTCCTGCCCCCCCCTGTGCCCCTTTACCCTCTCTTGCTTCAGAGGCCTTCAGCCCCTCCGTTGCCCCTCCCATCTTTCCCTCCTTCTCTTCCCTCCTCTTCCCTAGCCCCTCCTCTGGGCACATGGGTGGGGGGAGGCTTCCCAGAGTCTATGCTATGGGGTGTCCAGGGGATTCTGTGCCCTTCATCACACCTTGGGGTACAGCACCCCCCACTCATGCCCATGGTGATCTGCTGGGGAAATGGCTAAAGGGGCCAAGAATCCCACAGCTGTACTGGGGGTGTTCTGACTCTCCCATTTTACAGATGGAGAAACAGAGGCCCAAACGGTTCCCCAAACATTTCCTGCAGTCTCCTCCCCTAATCTCAGGTCATGGGCTGGGTTCTGGGGTCACGCTAGTGGACCAGGCATATTCCCTGCCCTGGAGCACAGTCTGGTGGAGTGAGGCTCAGAAAAAACTACTTTTCCCGTATATTGGACCTACATGTTATAAACCTAGAGTTAGGATTTCTGATTTGTCACAAGGATTTTTTTTTTTTCCTCTAACCCTACATTTCTACAAAGAGATCGGAAAGCTAATAGCATTAGATGTTTAGTCCCCTTGTTATGAGAATAATGCCTCATGCAGGTGGCAGTGTGTAATGCTGACCACAAATTACAGGACATCTCAGAATCGCAAACCCCAAGTCCCACGCCCTGTGACTCTTGCGGGACCCAGCTTGCCTCAGGCTGCCTCTTGGAGGGACCCGCAGTGAATCCCAAATTGCTTCCTTCGNTGCAGCGAATCCCAAATTGCTTCCTTCGCTAGAAAGGCCTCCCTGGGGAGGCAGCACAGGGCTTAGTTTTCATGTCTCCTTTACAGATGTGGATCCTGGGGCTCAGCGAGGCCTTGTAGGGGGTTTGACGGAGCCAACCCAGGTCTCAGTCCCCTGGGGAAAGGCGAATGCCACGTGTGTCCCTGAATGAGCAGTTACAGCCAGGCAGGGGTGGGCGGGATGTGTCCCAGGGTCTCTCTCCCCGGCTTGGTGAATGAACATGCTTTCTGTTTTCTTCCTCTCTGAACTTTCTCCTGACCACTCCTCCTGCCTCCTCTGACCCACCCAGCCTGTTGGGAGATCTTGCGTCCAGGTAAAGTCCCTCCCTTTGGCCCGACTGACCCACCTTCCAGAACTGCAGGGCACTCAGGTGGAAGGAAACATCACTTTCAATGGCCAGGCTCAGGCATGCGCTGGGACTAGAGCCCTCTCTGGAAGGACCAGGGGGGTGCAGTTTTTCCTTTAAAAACCTCACCCTGCTCTGGCCTTACACCCAGGTGACAAGGGAGTTTGCAGACAGCAAAGCTGGCTTTACTGATCTAGGGAGCAGCCCCCAATTAGTCTGAATTATAGAATGTTTTGGAGAAATGCCAGCTTCATGGCTTTCAAACTTCCACACTAATGAGAATGAACTGCTGGCGAAGCGTTGCTTAGGAGAGGCGTATGGAGATTTGCTTTTGTAGATAAAATTCCCTTGTCAACAGCTGGATCCACAGACATTCCAAGAACGCACCTGCCCCAAATGCAGTGGCTTTGCCTCCTTCTGCCACAAGATGGAATAGTACTCACTCCAAGAAATCAGTGTATTCGGAGAGGTGAAATTCAATTCAGTGTATTTCAGTAAAGATTGCCTGAACCCAGCCTTGTGCCCAGTCTGGTGCTGGGGCCTGAGGCTCCAGAGAGAGATCAGACACAACCCCTGTCCATGGTCTGGTGGAAGGTTAAGGTCCAGATTCTGCCACCTGTATCCGGTATGGCTTTAGTGAAGACTGGCCAACTCAGTCTTCTACCAGTTTCCATTCTAAGAGCTCACGCTTCCAAGTGAACCTGGAAAAGCAATCCCATTTGGAAGCAAAAAGAGAAAAAAGAGCCAAATTGTTTCAACAGCCTTATGAAACCTCCATGTCCTTACTGAGGGAGAAGTCATGGTTCCGCAAGCACAAGCCTCCCAGTTTAACCAAGCCTTCCACCTGCACCGTCTCCTGGAAGTCCTCGTGGTTCTAGAATGTGTTGTTATCCCCATTTCCAGATGAGTTCCACGAGACTTGAAGATGTACAGTGCCCACACATGAGTGGTGGGGATGGCAGAGCAGAACTTTCTGGTGGCCTGTCCCCTCAGTTCCCCTGTCCCTCCCTCCCTCCCTCCCTCCCAGCCGGGCCTGGTCAGCAAGGTCAGTAAGATGAGGATGTGCCTGGCAGCACTCACAGCTGGCAGGGCCTGCTAGGCTGACACTTCAGGCTGAGAGGAGGAACCTCAGGGCTGCTTTTGAAAGAGTGGAGAGCAGAGGGTGGGTGGGAATCGCCTCAGTTCTGAGCTCTGCTCACTCAGTGGTTAAGGGCGTGAATTAGGGAGTCAGAATCCTGCCAGTCACTTCCCATGAATAGCTGTGTGACCTTGGGGAAAATACTTTTACTCCCTGTGCCTCGGTTTCCCAATCTGTACATTGGGTGCAATAATAGCATGGTTGTGAAGGTTAGAGTTACTCTAGAATAGCCCTTGGCACAGCGTCAGCCCCATGTGAGTATCTGGTCTTGTTATTATTCTGTGTGTCAGAAGCACTGGCTGCTGGTAGCACCTCCCATGTTCTGCCCCACAGCCCCACCCTCCTTCCCCATGTGGCTTTAAGACTCTATGCAGAATGTAGACAGCCCCTGGGCCTGGGTCTCGTCCAACTTGAATTTGATTAAACTGACCTCAGCAGTGCATCGAGATGGCTGTGGCCTAGGGCCACCTGAGCACTTTCACAGGAGCCTCCTGGAGATGTTGGGAGATGGGAAGGAGTGAGGGTGGGGGAATCCCAGCCAGCAAGTTGAGAAGGGCAGTGTCAGGGAAAGTTGGGCTGGCTGTGGCGATTTGAGGTTGGCAGGGCCCCTTGGCACCTCTGGAACCACCAGCGACCCAGATGCACACACTGTCCTGGGCCATCCTCTTCCCACCCCTATGCCTCCTCCCAGCTTGTGGGAAGCCAGGGACCCTTCTCAGGAAAGGGAAGGTTTCCATTCTTTTTGAAGCCAGGAGGAGACATCTCCTAGTTTAATTCCAAGACAGACCGAGGCTCAGAGAACCAGGCCACTGAGGCCAGATTTCCTACCTCTCAGCCCAGAGCTACCCCTTCTGACCATAAACCCTTCCCAGTCCTCAAACTGGCAGGGCATTGAGTCTCACAGCCAGAGATCTGGCTCAGGGCTCACTGGGTCTGGGTCTCTGTTTCAGTGACGTGGCCGTGGAGCTGCCCTTCACCCTAATGCACCCCAAGCCCAAAGAGGAACCCCCACATCGGGAAGGTGAGCAGAATCCATGGGTCGTTGGGACGGGGGTTTCCAGGTAGCTGACCCTCTTCTCCACCAACTGCTGTGTTTTCCCATCACCCCACCTCCCTGTGGGCCAGCCTTCAACCCAGGGTCACTCCTCTTCCCCAGCTCCCCAGGGTCTTTTGTGAAGCCCACACTCCTATTTACATCTAACTCTCCAGGAGACAGAGCGGTCTGGCTCTATTCTCTATGGGGGTGGGGAGGCTGGGAGTGGAGGGGGCCCACTGGCCATGCCTGGAACCCTAATCTTGCATCCAGGTGTAGGAGAAAAGGCTACATGGAGAAGGCGGCCCCTGGACACACCATCCCCATAATTTTTCCAAATAATGCCAGATCAGTCATACTTGATAAAGTCTGACTATTTCAGTCAAAAGAGACATTATATAGTATGTATCACAAAGAAAGAAAAACGTTCCCACAAATAAACTGTGCAATGCCATTGATTGTAAAAACACCCCAAGTTCAGAGATGTGAAAATGTGGGGGAAAGGTTGTTTTAGAGTTAGTGAAAGTCATTCATACAAGAAATGAATCTAAGTCACATTGGAAATACGCCAAAAGGAACAGGGTCCAGAGGCTTTTCTATTCTCCTGGGGCTGCAGTAGGCCTCTGGGACCCTCCCTGAGCCCTCCAACCTGCCTTTAGGATGATTTGGGGTATTTCTGAGACCAGAGACCAGCCTTCCTTCCCCACTCCCATCTCCCTTTGCCCTCCTCATCTTAGCTTGGTTGTTCCAGGGCGGGGACCTGTGCTCCCATATCCACTCACACTAACCCATGGGTGCCTGCCACCCTGTGTTTAGTTCCAGAGAACGAGGCGCCAGTAGATACCAATCTCATAGAACTTGACACAAAGTAAGCCACCCTTGCTTGCAGATGTCTGGGGGCGGGCCTTGGGCGGTGGGCAGGGCAACAGGGTTATTGCATAGATGCTGCTTAACCCCTGAGGAGCAGCTGAGCTAACCCTGCTTGCTGAGAGCCACCTCTGCTGGCCTCTTCAGCAAGCCGCTTGCCTGCATGTGACTTGAAGGACCCTCGGTGCCTGTTCCTCTTCTTCCTGCCTTGGTGGGGCCTGTCTTCCTCCCTCATCCTTGCATGTCTGTCAGTCTGTCCAGAGCATCTGCTTGGCTCACTGGGCTGGTTCATGGCCCTGGGCTGGAGATCTCCTGCCTCACCCACACCCAACCAGTAAAATCTGGCTGTGGAGTGGGGAAGGTTCTGGGGATCGTGTTGCTTCTGACTCCTGAGGACTGATGCAGATTTCCCTGCTGCCAAAGGCCATTGACTCACTAGACATTGGCCAGAGGGGGAAGATCTGGGCCAACATCATGAACCAGCTCCAGGGCAAACCAACTTTCTTGCTCCAGCTCTAAATCCACTCTTTCCTTCTTTCCCGGGAGATATTTGGGAAATGGGGTCCCAAATCGCCCCATGAGGACAGTCCACACAGCTGGCTGAATTCTGGGCAACAAAGTCCTAGAGGGCTTAAGTGGACTTGTTTCATGGTAGAAGGGAAATCATTGTTCTTGGAAGCAGTCCTTAGTCCTGAAACCCCATTCAGGTGCCCCCTTTCTCCACCCACCTTTCCTTTACCCCCCCTATTTATATTCCCCCCATCCCCTTCCTCTCCAAGATCCCTCAGGGTAGGATGTGAGCTGACGCTTTCCAGGAGAAAGGGTCTTCGTGGGGTTCCCTTCCAGTAAGCCAAGCCCGCTCCTTCCCATGCAGAAACCAAAAGTTCTTTCGTTGGGTGGGTGGGGTTTCATGGGCCTGTTCTTGGGGAATTCAGAATATGCTGTGGAACTACTGGTGGCCTGGCCTCCCCCAGTGGGAATAAGCTCTTCCTCTGCCCCCAGCCCAGTGACACTCCCCCCTCCCACCCCTAACTCCTCAAGAATCAGGTCACTTTTCAGCCCTTAGGCATGAAAGGCAAACTTCACGCCTTCCTCTGCCATTTCCACCACTGGCTGCAGGCCAGATGTGACCAGTCCCACTGTCACTGGCAGGTATCCAGATGTGCCAGCTGCCAGGCCTTTCTGCTCAGGTCAGCCCTGGAGGCCTGCGTCTGAGCCTCTGAGTAAGCCCGCTCTCCCCACCCTGCAAACACTGCCCATTTTCCTTGTCTTCCCCACCAGCGATGACGACATTGTGTTTGAGGACTTTGCTCGCCAGAGGCTGAAAGGCATGAAGGAGGACAAGGAGGAGGAGGAGGATGGCACTGGCTCTCCGCGGCTCAACGACAGATAGACTGGGGGCCCGCCCCGGGCAGCCCCAGGCCTGCCCTCCTGCTCTAGGCTGCTTGTTTGTCTCCTTCCTGTTCTGGTGCCCCCTCCCCTTTGCTCTTCCAGTTTCTACCAGGGGCCCAGTGGTCTTCCAGATCGTGGTGATGACCCTCTGGCCTCAGGATGGGCCTCGCATCACCACGCCAACAGGGCCACGTGCACCGCCGTAGCCCTCTCACTGCAGTCACCTCTCCGCCCTCACTCTTCCTGCTGACCCCCAAAAAGGCCACCATGGCTCTGGCCTTGGATCTGACTTGGGATGGGGAGCAGGGGGAAGATAGGGCACAGGGCTCGGAAGGGTGGGGATGAGGGGCCCAGACGCGGGAGAGAAGGTGCACAGTCCCAGGTGGTTCACACAGTCTGGCAGCTAAGAGATGAGCGCGTTGAAGGCCACCCACTTCGGGCTGGGAGGGCAGGCTGTGGAGAGATTCTTAATGCCTTTTTTGTAGTCCTGACCCACTAAACACCTCTCCCCTTCCACCACTGTCCCTGCCCCATGTCCCTCTGTGTCTGACAGTGACATTGGTGTAGACCCCAGGCGTGGAGAAGAGCAACTGGACTGACTTTCTTACCAGCAGTTCCTAGTCTAAGGCAAGCTGTGTGAAGTAGCCCAAGTCTATTTCAGTATTGTCAGGATATAACCTCCTAGCTAACCTGTATTTTAGGTGTGTGTATCTTATCTATAAATATGCACAGAGAGAAAGAAAGGGAGGGGCTTTCAGAAAGTACCTCCCCACCTTGTCCTCCAGGCAGAGTGAGCAAAGCTCTGGAGGAGGTTTCTCGAAGGGTGGCTCTGAGAGATGAGTGCAGGAGGCAGGAAGGCGAGAAGCTGCCCTGTTCCATTTCTTTGTGGACTTGTGATTGGCGATCCCATGGGAAGCAAGGCTGGAAGTCCAGAGCTGGCCAGGAACACCAGCATCCTCCAGCCTCCCCTTGCACTTCTTCAGGGCTGGGCTGAGAGGCAGTGCCTGAGGCCACCACACCCACAGGCAAAAGGGATCCTTCTAAGGGAAGATGGCAGGGTCCATCGTGAAGCCCTCACCTAAAAGGGAGGGGGCTGCTGCATAGCAAGGAAACTTGTTTCCTTGAGGAGTTGACACCCCCCCCCC